CATTATAAAATATTCATTCTTACATTAATGACGCCTTATATTTTCATAAATAACTGTAACAACAGTTAGGCTATAACTTAAAAAAATATACTGCATTAAAACACATGGCCAACACCATATTTCAGGTGTTTTATCATGTGTTGTATTATGTTGTCAATAGTGCACTACACTATTTAATGCATGTGCAGGTAATTTATGTGCATTTGAATGTATATATTAAATTATTTTTATGGGTATTATAAAGCAAAGTATTATAAAGTATTTTAACTGTGGTTACAGTTAGTAAAGAAAGTATATAACAGAATGCAATTGATAAGGGATTATGAATAACTTTGTAATGCATGTATATATTTAATAGATATCTATGTAACATATATATTGTTAGATAGATACATCTATTAAATAGATGGATAAACTAGATTTATTCTAAATATAAAGAAGAAAATAATGACCTGTCTTGGTGAACTTTTCCTTGAATATATCCGGCCAGACAGAATATGTGGACTCTGTCAGGTGATGTTACCCAAAAACATGTCCCGGTGGAAATGTCTGCTCAGTGAGCTGTGATAACTTTAAAATAACTGCTCTGTGTTTGAGTAAATTAATTATTAATTGTGGTGTGTGACAGAAAGGTTGAGGTTGTAATTTTGGTTTCAGTGAATGATGTGTTCGTGCCTTCAGTCACCAAGTGCTGTGTAAATGCATTTGAAATCAAATGCAAAGGTGTAATGCGTTTCAGATAACTACACTAAAAATACGATGAGTCACCTTATTTAAAATTCCCAGTTTAAATATCAGCCCAATCTTTAATATTCCACCATTCGTTTTTGGCAACATGTGACACAATGTTGCCATCTAATGGTAGATAGTTATAATTGCAGATAAGCCTTCCACAGATATGAGATGTACTTTAGGTGAGCAGGAAAATAAAGAGAGAGGAAAATATCCCTCTACCACATTACTATTTTCCATACTTATGAGAAAATGTCAAGGCCACACAATAGACAGCAATGTGATTAGCATAGGTCACGACAGATGTTCCTGTATTTGACATGACATTGACATGACATTTACCTAGACTTGATTGTTAGGTGAGATTAGTCTATTTGTGTGTCAATCATGAGGCCTTAAAGGACTGATGGAGAAATGTCACATTAGAATCACAAATCTTCATCATAGAGGCGTTTACAGGGTTTTTATTGATATGTTTCTTTTTTAAGTCAATATATTACGTCTTTTTAGAATATGTTAGATTTAGGATTGGTTTAGACTCCTGTACATTTCAGTTTTAAGATGTGCTTTTTTAATATTAAATATTTATAATAGATTTTGAAATTTATAGTATGTATAGATATATAATACTAAATATTTTCTATTCTATTCTTTCCCCGGTCAGCATCTGCACAAAGCTGTGGTGTTAAACTAATTATCTAAACCTTAAACAAGGCACACAATGCTTGATAAAAATATTTTCTTTTTAAAATGCACCAGTTTTGTGGAAATAAATACATTGTTAAGGGTTATTTATTGTTGCATTACTCAGAAGCACAATGTACTATTTGCTAGCTAAGCGGTTATGCTGGAGGGATTCACTACTGATGCACTGAACAGATCCTCCGTCACTTTGGGTAAATAAAAAAGTGCACCAAAGCAATTTAAAGAGTTTTTGCTGCTGGGGAGAGGAGATGATTTTTTTTCTTCAGATTCATTAACTAGGAATGAATTGAATAAGGCTGATTATAGAGCAAGAGACCCTGAGAAAGGCACAAACATTCAGTATATATATATATATAAACTCTTTAGGCATTAAGCAACCATCTAGCAACCACTCAGAATGCATTAGCAGCCCCATCGCAATCCTCTGGCAAACACCAACAACACCTGAGCACGGGTTCTGCACTGACAAGGAGCACGCACATTATCTTCAGAAAATGTATGAATGTTGTTGTTAATATTTTTTGCTCTCTCACAGATTACCTGGCCCCACCTCGAGGATGCCCACTGCGGGCAGTGAGAGTTCTCCTCGAGGGTCCATCAGTTCAGCAGGGAATCGCCGCAGTCAGGTGTTCAGCGATAAAGCCAAACCTGCAGCAGCAGCTCAGGCCAAAGGTAAAGCCAACGTCACAGTCTTTAAAGTGAAGTGACCTCTGAATCGAAACATTACTCATAATCTCATCAGAAAATGGCAGGTCAGGATTTAATTAAAGAGCATTTGTGTGGCAGCTGGCGTGTGAATGTAAAACAGTTTCTCTCTGACAGATTTGAACAAGCTTGTCTCTACAGAGTCCTTCCAGTTTATATTATCTGTGATTGTATCATGCCTAGGCAAATGAACCTATTTTCTGTATTTTATTTATTCAAAAAATGCTGACTAGCTACAGCCCCTGGCAATGTTTAAAGAAAAATTAGATAATAAAAAAAGATAGTTTCAGATGGACTAGAAGAAAACTGTGTCTCATGTTTTAGTTATGTATGGCAAGATTTGTGATATGAATGAGGTACGTTTATGATTTGTTTCTTTCTCCAAATTAAATGTCTTTTGTCATTTGTATTTTGAACAGTAATGGAGCAGTCTTCTCCATTTTAAGTAAAAGCTATGGAGCTAGTCTTTATTTACTCTGTGGGCTGTGTGCATGTACGCTACGTTTTCAAATTATTATAATTTTTTTAATCAATGTTAATACATTTATTCAGCAAAGATGCATTAAATTGAAATTGAAGTCATAGTAAAACATATTCTTTTGAACTTTCTGTTCATCAAAGAATCCTGAAAAAATAATAAGCAGCTTAGCTGATTTCAACATGGATAATAATAAGAAATAAAATGTTGAGCAGCAAATTAGTATATTAAAATGATTTCTGAAAGATCATGTGACACTGAGGACTGTAAAATTCAGCTTTGCCATCACAGTAATAAATAACATTTTAAAATGTATTCAAATAGAAAAAAGTTCTTTTAAATTGTACGAATATTTCACAGTATTCCAGTTTTTACTGTATTTTAGATCACATAAATGCAGCCTTAGTGAGACTTCAAAAACATTAAAAAAAAAATTATTGCCAACCCTGAACTTTTGAATGGTACTGTATGCCATTTATCATTTGTGCATTTACAAGAACAATGTCTAGATCTAAAATTTGCCGCTTGGTTAGCATTATCCAGTAGCCCAGATGGCATAGGTGAAGTCAACAGAAAACAAAAGCGGACTTTCTACAGGAAGGTATTGCATTTTAAACATTTTCTGGAATAACATGCATTGATGAATTACACACCATAAGATAAACTGGGTCAGTTCTGAGTTCATGTTGACTTTAAGCGGTCACTGTGTTAAAATGTGCCAACTACATTTCTGTGCTCTGTGACGGAGCTGTGCTGAGTTTGGAGTAGTTAATGTAGCAGTCAGTGCTGGAAATAACTGCTTATAATGACCTTGAATGAAGCTAGTCACACAACCCCTAGCTGAGATGTTTCAAAGATGTTGCAAATGTGCCGTACGTGTGTGTGTGTGTGTGGTACTAGCTTTGAAAGCAGAGTGAGCGAAGTGTAGGAAGTTTCTGCATTAATTGAGCTCCAATTAGTGTGTTTTGGCCCTGAGAATGTGGTGGCAGTGAAAGAGACACGGAAAGACGAAGGTTTCCACAGTGTCATGCTTTAGGCAATCTGTCCTGTTTTTCTACACTGAACAAAATTATAAACGCAACACTATTGTTTTTGCCCCCATTTTTCATGAGCTGAACTCAAAGATCTAAGACTTTTTCTATGTACACAAAAGGCCTATTTCTCTCAAATATTGTTCACAAATCTGTCTAAATCTGTGTTAGTGAGCACTTCTCCTTTGCCGAGATAATCCATCAACCTCACAGGTGTGGCATATCAAGATGCTGATGTTACGGGGCTGAGAAGACGTGAGACGTGCGGATCCATATGCAAGCTTTATTAACATCAGAGGAGGTCAGGGACAGCCCCCGGACCCCCCAATACAGTACAACTGCACATTTTAGAGTGGCCTTTTATTGTGGCCAGTCTAAGGCACACCTGTGCAATAATCATGCTGTCTAATCATCATCTTGATATGCCACACCTGTGAGGTGGATGGATTATCTCGGCAAAGGAGAAGTGCTCACTAACACAGATTTAGACAGATTTGTGAACAATATTTGAGAGAAATAGGCCTTTTGTGTACATAGAAAAAGTCTTAGATCTTTGAGTTCAGCTCATGAAAAATGGGGGCAAAAACAAAAGTGTTGCGTTTATAATTTTGTTCAGTGTATTTTCCACTGTATGTTTGTACATATTTCTAAATGAGCAAAGCATTTTAAAGAAAAATTCAAAGCAGGTTCTTCTAATGGTAGACTTTGCAAACTGCATGCCCATGTTCACTTTTTAAGAATATTTTTTTTTGAATAATCTGACTTTTAATATCAGACTTGTGTGCAGTTGAAGAGTTCAGATGTTTTGGTCTTGTGAAAGTTAGTAAATGGTGTCAGCCGACCGACTCTCCCATAATGCATTTAGCTCTGTTATTTTGCGTGTGACCTGCTTAATGCAAAGCAGAGGGAGATTGTGAATCACAGAGCAAAGGAGCACAACTCTTCTGTGTGTGTGCCATCATTCTGACACTGTTGAAACAGACATAAGCCTGTTCTGAGATGACGCGAGTCAAGAGTGGGCTAGAAAGAAGATTTAAAGGTTTAAAATTTTAAAGCAGGCAAGAAAAAAATCGCCTTTTATGTTTTCAGAGTTTGAAATCAATTTTCTAGACCGATAAGTAAATTTAAATTCAGTGCTGTAAAAAGTAGTATTTGTATAGTGGTAATTTTATGCAGTTTGATTTCATTTTAAAGCAGCAGTTTTTATTTTATTTTATTTTATTTTGAGAAATGTTTTTATACATAACATAATTTTTTCATTAAAGGGATAGTCTACCCAAAAAATGAACATTATTTACTCAACTTCATGTTGATCCAAATCTGTATGACTTTCTTTCTTCTGTGGAACATGGAGGAAAAAAAGGTATTTTAAAGAATGTTGGTGACCAAACAGTTCCCATTGGTTCCCTTTGTCCTCTATTGTATGGCCAAAAAAGTACAATTGAACTGGATATGAAGAAAGAAGAATAAAGAAGATGATACAGGTTTGGAACAACATGAGGGTGAGTAAAATTTTCATTTTTGGGTGAACTATTACCTTATGGTCCATATGCTGTTTAAGCCTTTATTTACAGCAGTTGCTGTATTTGTGTATAATATTGGCTTAAAAAAGGTCATCGGATGCTACATGCACTTTTACGAGTTGTTTGAACTGAAATGTGTGTTGGCAGTGTGTGTACACAACCACCCTATAATGATAAAAATCCACCCAGTGTTTTTTTTTTTTATCTACTACCCCTTTCTCAAATCGAGCCGATCTCAGATGCCTGTCTGTGTGACATCACAAAAACAGGTCCCTCCCACGATAGTTTGATTGACAATAGCGTTTCAGCACAGACTGGACTGGCTTCTTACCTTAGACCTGCCCTAAAGAGTCATATCAACTTGTGGAAAATGGGCATCCTATGACCCCTTCAATGAAATACTAGCCTAATCAGGCATGTTTACATGATGAATACAAGATAAAAATATGACCAATAACAACTGGAATTATCTTACAATCACATGATGACTATTTAATAACAGAGAGAAAAAACACTGACAAGGTGCAATATGAAACAGGCATGATGTGTTTATTGGTGGGCTCTCGTAGGGTGGTCATCTGAGACTAATGATAGCTGTTATTCTGCCGTGGAGAAATAATCACTTAAATATGGACGTTAAGAGGAACTGAGAGGGGCCACAAACCCTGAGGGCAGAAAGTTGCTCTAGAGTTTCCTAATGACATGAGGGCGACAGCAAGATTATTTCTGACCAAAGTTTTGCAGTTCATTGTCATATGGTCTGTTTCTGGACAGTAACTGCTCAACTTTTTCTCTCTCTCAACTTTCAGTTCTATAACCGAGGTCTTTTTTCCGACCTATCCCCTTCTCGGCCCCTCTCTTTCCTCTCTCTACCTATTGGAAGTCATTAGTGGTCTGACCCACTTCTCTCTGGCTTGCATGGCTAATTGGACCTTAATCACTTCCTAATTGCCGCTTTGTTTCTGTGCCGCTCATTAAATGCCAAACGGAATGAGATGGGAACAGTGTTTTTCCCCCCATGTCAGATCGTTTAATAAAATATACAGATAAACGCTGAACCTGAAAAATAATAAAACATTCGAGTGTAATCAGTGGATTTTTAGTCAAAACCTTTACATTCAGTCTTAACATGTGCTTACCAGAAGTTTGTAGCTAATATTGTCAAATAATATTTCCGTCTGTTTAAAATGATATATATATCTGAATAAACGGTGCATAAAGTATCTGTGAGAAATATCCAGCACTCCGACTAGGCACTCAGTGGGATAAACCTATAGTTTTTGATCTCATTTGTAATGTGCAGCATTAGTAGGCCTATATGCTCAGATGATTTAGAGTTGTGTTTAGAGTTTTTGGGCACTTCAGTCTTTTTTTCTGGGTCTGCACCACCGGCCGGCTGACAGAGCGAGTGTGTTGAGAGTGATCTAGAGGCTCAGAGGGAGGGGGCTGGACAGAAGGACAGCGGGGTTTCTGTGCGAGAACTGTTTGCAGTTAGTGTTTTATTTGCAGTGTAGCTCCTCGACTACTGAGACACTACAGGCTGGACTGACGGTGAAACCAGCGCACTTTAACAAATGGACCTGCCAGGTGAATGAGATACAGATAGCATGCTGATTTCATTTAAATTTTTATGTTTTTCTTTGCTTTTTATAAACAGATTTTTTTACTGCAGTGAAGAGGAACATTTTCCATGATTATAATTGCCATTTTTAGACTATTTCATATGAGCAATACATGGCATTCTGCAAGGTTTGGCTGATTTAACCGTTTGTTTTCAAGGACTTTTTTATAACTCTGTTGTGCTAGAATGCATGTCTGTTTATTTAATCAATTAACACTGGCTAATTATAGATTTTCATGTATTATTTAACATTTCGGTTTTGGTATGGTTTATATTTCATGTCAGTTATTTAAAGGAAGTTTTGATTGTGTATGTCACACAGAGCACAATAGCTAAATTTGGCCTCCAGTGTTTGAATGGGCATTAAAGTCTTACTCGCTGTGTTAGTGTAAACAGTTTAGAATGGATCTCAGTCGGCTGTCTGCTGCTTACTATTAGAATAACATTAGCTTAGGAGTAGCTAGCCTTTTATGGCCAGGGAGAACAGTTTCAATATTCATCTCCGGTTAAACTTTCAAAACTTTTCTCCTGTTTTCCGTAGCCTTTGATTCAGTTTGCTTTAATTTTGACGTTATTTCCCTGCTTCCCAGGTTCTTTTTTCCACAACATCTATTTGGTTTTCAGATCTGATCTTTAGGACTGACTGTTCATCAGTGTTGTTGTTGTATCTGTTGCTATAGTAATGATGTATGTGTCAGAGCAGTGCCAAGAAACTTTCTCATATATGATGTTATGTGTTCCATAATTATGAAAAACCACATGAAATCTGATCAGACTGTTTGACTCACTTGCAAAAATGAGATTTTGATTGGATTTCAAACACATATCGATGCGGTGTGTCTGCAAAAATGCATAGATGTAAATGTAACTTACGTTTAAGTAGTAAGATTACTAAAACTGAAATAAAAATAAACGGAACTTAAATAGAATATTAAAAAGAACATTAAAATGAAAAAAAGCACATAAAAAACCCAAAACAAACTAAAATACTAAACATGGAATCTGAACCATTTCTTGACCTGTCCATTTTTATAGAACAATGTTTATATATATATATATATATATATATTGTGTTCAGTTGCCGTGTGGTTTTCATGTATTTCATATATTATGTTTTTTTTGCCCATCTTGACCAGGACTCTTATTGTATTTCATTGGGACCTTCCTGGTTAAATAAATGATAAAAAAATAGAAAGAAAAGAAATGTTAATTCAAAATATGAACAAACCATATAATAGTGTATACACTAAAATAACATTGGACCATTCAAACTGAGATACTTTTCTGGTTTTAAGAGGATTCAAAATCTGATTTAATTCAAATTCAGATTTCATGGTACAAATATGAATGTGAGTATGAACTGCTCTTCTCTCACATATGCAGTCCAACTTTCTCCATGACTGTTTTATCCTGTCTCTGATTTTGCTGTGTTTCACTGTCACCTCATGTCATTTCCTCTCCAGAATCATCAGAGAGTGTCTCCTCACACGGCATGACTGAGCACACTCTGTCATCCCTGGCGTCCGCCTGCACCTCTGTTAGCACCAGCACTGTGGCATCTTCATCTTCATCATCAGCCATCCCCCAGCCAAACTCGAGTAGCAAACCCTGGAGAAGCAAATCTCAGAGCACCAAGCACACTGCTACCTCCACCGCTACCTCCACGGTGCTTTCCATCAAACCAGATCTCCAAGCCAAGGAGCCCGTGCCTGCAGAGCCGCCACCGAAAGCTGTGCCTCAGAAGTCCATGCTGGAGAAACTCAAACTTTTCAACAGCAAAGGAGGCTCCAAGTCATCCACGCAAGCAGAGAGCGCCGTTACACTGACAGGAGGAAAAGATGGCGGTTTGGTTTTAGAAAGAGTCGAGGCTGGTTCCAATACAAAACCCACTGAGGAAATGGATGGGAATGTCAGGCCCACAAACGGATCGAGTGCCGTTATGATGACAACCAGCAGCCCAAAGATTGCGCTAAAGGGCATTGCGCAACGGACATTTAGCCGGGCGCTCACAGCAAAAAAAGCCTCAACTAAAGCCGTAGATAAAGAAAAAGAAAAAGAACGAGCTAAAGAAAAAGACAAAAATGGGAAAGAGGGGTCAAAGTGTGTCCCTTCCTCCGAAAAGGTAGAGATCAAAGAGGAAGTTAGGGAGGAAGTTGTTCCCTCAAGCAGAGTTGCTCCCTCCGAGGCAGAGCCCAGGAAAGCCTCCAAGATCGCCAGCTTCATACCCAAAGGCGGCAAAGTGGGTGGTACCAAGAAAGATAGCCCCGCCCCTGTGCAAAGCGGAATTCCAAAACCAGGAAGTAAAAACACTGGAAATGGAGCGGTAAAAAGTTCAGCGTTGCCCCTCGGTGGTAAAGACAATGAGATGCCCCGCAGTATGCGTCTGGGAGGGGGTCTGGGACTTCATCGGGACAGCCGACATTCCTCGTCCTCTTCCAGCCTGGCTTCCACCGAGGGGAAAGGACACCACAGCGCCGCCCCGGTGGCCAACGGAACACAATCCACGGCCAGCAACACAGTCAGTGTGCAGCTGCCTCAGCCACAGCAGCAGTACAGCCACCCCAACACAGCCACCGTAGCACCCTTCATGTACAGGTGAGACTCGTCCTGGGATTTTCATCTGGAGGATGATAAAACAGGCCAAAATACATAGATTTAGATCAAAGGAGAAACTCGAGCCAGATCTAGAGATTATGGGGGGGTCTTTTGACTTAGACCAGTAAGTAGTAGTTTTGTTTTTGTTTTTTTGTTAACTGAAACTAGACTATTAAAAAAGGTTTTTGTTAATTGAAACAAAGCTGAAATAATACTAAATATAAATATTAGACGGAAAAACTTAAACTTAAAAAAATTAGGTATGTTGCTTTGGCAACAAACTGAAATAAAATAAGCTGAAGTGCCTAAGTTACTAAAAATAAAACTGAAATAAAAATAAATATTAAAATAAAATATAAAATATATAAAAATAGAAATAAAACGAATAAAAATAAACTCACGTTAAAAACAAAAATAAACACTAAATAAAAATGTTATAAAATAAAAACAGTATATCTGTAATAATAAACTAACACTGGACTATTCAAACCGAAACACATTTCTGATTTTTCAAAGTCTGATTTTTAATTTAAATCCTGTGATATGTGGTTTGAAATAGGTGTGATTTCATCTGTATTTTGCTGTTAACTAAAATTGATACTCAAAAAAAAAAAAAAAAAAGCAATAGCTTCAATTTTCTTCTCTCACAAATGCAGTCCAAAAAAATGAAGAAAAAAAAAAGAAAGTTAGAAATGTTATCTTGGCAACTAACTAAAATAAGTTTAATTTGAAGTACTAAAACTAAAAAATACTAGAATTAAAACTGAAATAAAAAAGCTAATAAAGTGAAAAATTGCTAAAGCAAACTAAAATGGAAATTAATACTGAAGATATAAAAATCTAATTCTAAATATTAATAAACGTATAGTACAATTTGCTTAAAATCTCTCACAAGACCTTAGTAGCAGAATAGCAACCTCCTGACAACCACCCAAAACCAAAACACAATCACATACTGTACCATCATGCTACAAACATGCTAAAGAGCATCTTACTAACAACATAACACAAGATGATATTGATTTGTACTGAAAAAAACTCTAGTGAAATCTTAATGCATGCATGTAGCACATAGCAGATAGACAGATAAATAAAATGGATTCATGCCAAAACATTTGTATTTGATTTATGAGACTGCCACTGTAAAACTCATTGTGAACGGCTGTAGTAAGTGTGCATGCGTGCTCACATGTGTATGACTCCCCGTCAGGCTCAGCTGTGAAGCGTTTGCCTGGTATTTCCTCTGAAACAGACCTGTTGCCCTGTGTTTGTTTTCCATAAAGGATTCCTTTAGTCAGGCCATGACTTCTGCTGACTAGAATGTCACAGAAAATGTGTATGCATGTACATGAATGACATCTTTTTTAATTTTAACCCCTGTGTTTTTAGGTCTCAGAATGAGGCAGATGGAAACATTGGCACAATCCCAAGCTCTGGATGTCGTAGTAGTGACTCCAGTAGCTTCAGTAAGATCGACCAGTCTTCTACTGAGGACCTGTCAGGTAACCTGTTCATTTCATATCTGATGAAGTTTAAAACATCTGATATTCTAAGACCTTTTCCTTTTAGTAATTATAATAATCAATGCACCATTATGCACCACCATATTGTCACATGATGCTTCAGAAATTATTTTAATATGCTGATTTGTTGCTCAAGAAACATTTATTATTGGCAGTCAGTGTTGAAAACAATAGTTAGCATTGTTTGATGAACAGAAAATTCAAAAGAAGAGCATTTATTTGAAAAACAAATCTTACCCAAACTGTGGAACAGTGTTTAAATACTGATATATGTGAAAATTCATGCCCTATTTTCAGGTGAAGATCCAGAGACCAGACGTCTGAGGACTGTCAAAAATATTGCTGACCTGCGGCAGAATTTAGAAGAGACCATGTCAAGTTTGCGGGGGACGCAAATCACACACAGGTAGATGCATCTATTTCTTACTTTTCACAGTCTGATGTAGCAGGAGAACTTTCAGAAAGTGGCTAAGATAAGAAGATGGTTCTTTGGTGAACAGTGAAGCTTTAACAGTGAGGGAAAAAGCAGATTATTCCCCAATTCAACTGGCAAAGACACAGGCTGCCATAAAAGGACACTTTTTTCTCACAGTATTTTATCTTTTGAGACAATAACAAGTAGCCATTCCTTCCTCAGCTTGACTCTTTTAACTGTAAATGACTAATTGAATAGAGTCTGTCCACCAGCTCCACCATGCTCTTTCCATCTCTATTCTTAAAACCTTCTTTGTTCCTCTTTTTTGATTATTCATCTGATTGACCCAGACTGCATTGCTATGATGGCATCATGCTGTAATTGTGAACTGCTTAAAATGTCCATTTTAGGGCAAAATGAGAGCAGCAAGGCATTTTTGTTTCCTGAGGTTTCAGGATATTGGTTACAATTCCTCAGTACTATGCATAAAACCTTTCCTCATATTATAAGTTAAGTAAATATTGTAATTGAATTCTATTTGGTGAAAAATACCATAGTAACTGTGGTTTCCTGGAATTAACTATACTACAACAGCCTAGAAATGTTGGTCAAACTTGGTACAAGCCACTACTGTAATAAAAACAACTAATAACATGGTATTTTTGAAGAAACTATAGATATATACCATGGTATAACTATTGATACCATGGTACATTTTAGCTTTAAAAGGTCATATGAATTTGATTTTATATTGACTTTTAATGTGTCAATATATGAATTTGTGTGAATTTTAAATGTTCTTTGTCTCTCAGCACACTGGAGACCACTTTTGATGGTAGCGTTACTACTGAAATGAGCAGTCGCAGCATCCTCAGCATGGCATCTCGCCCCGCGCCGCTGTCCTGGGCCAGTCGCATAGGCCAGTCCAGCCCCCGTCTACAAGCAGGAGATGCTCCCTCGGTTGGTAACGGGTATCAGTCCCGCAGCGGAGGTGTGGCGTCCGGCCAGGGCCGTTATCTGTACCAGGCTCCTCTACGGAAGCAGCTGGCAGCGCGTGGCAGCGCCCTCTGTGGCCTGGAGCTGGGAGACAGGGTGGAGGATCTGGAGCTGGCAGGTGGGGGGCTGGAAATGAGCGGCTACATGAGTGATGGAGACGTGCTGGCAAAGAACGCCCGCTCTGATGAGCTGACCAGCGGGTAAGTGTGGAAGATGATTGGCACTGGTTAAGATGGATGACTAATGGGGTTTTTCCAACGGCTGATAATTATGGGCGTTTTCAGTATGTAGTTAAGTGGAGATGAAAGGAAAATTAAAAAGCAGTTTAAAGGTGCACCTCATAATTTACTCATGTGGTAATTCTTTGTTGGTCCTAGATTATTATTAACCAATTATTGTGTAAATTGTGTCAAGTGCCTAAAGGAAGCAGATTTGGTGTAAAGATATCTCTGTTAAAGGTCAGTTCAGTTTACTGTAATGAGTGTTGTCATGTTCATAAATTTGTACATTACCATATAAAACTAATCAAATGGATCATGCTTGCTGTGAAGACTTGTGAAAATCTCTGTGGATATTTGCAGGGTGGATTTATTGCAGCCACTAGAGGGTGATATAGTTCTCTAAATATTAATTCACTTTTTCTAAGGTCACTTTTCTTAGGTAATTTAGGTAATTTCTTAGGTCACTTTTCTTAGGTCTAATTCATTTTCATATTGATATTATAAATCAATGCATGACTACCAGGTCAGAAATTAACTTTTAAATTTAGGGGCAATAGATTTTCAGAGGCTTTTTTAACCTATGTAAGAAGAGTTTTTGTGTTTACCTTTTTAAATGTATTGAGCAGAGTTAACCAAATTTACATTTAGGCATTGTTTTAGTAAATGCACAGATTCAGAAAAGGATATACCATTCAAATGTTTGGGGTCATACGATAATGTTTTTGAAATATGTTTTTTTTATGCTCACCGAAAGATACAGTAAGAATACAGTAAAAACAATATTATGAAATAATATTAGAATTTAAAAATGCTTTCTATTATTATATTAATTAATTTATATTAAAATTATTAATTATATTATCAAATGTAATATAAGAATATTTTAAAATATGGTAAAGCTGAATTTTCAGCATCATACTTCAGTCTTCAGTGTCACATGATCCTTTAGAAATAATTCTAATATGGTGATTTGATGCTTAAAGGGGTCATATGATGCTGCTAAAAATAACATTATTTTGTGTATTTGGTGTAATGAAATGTGTTTATGCGGTTTAAAGTTAAAAAAACACATTATTTTCCACATACTGTACATTATTGTTTCTCCTCTATGCCCCGCCTTTCTGAAAAGCGTCGATTTTTGCAAAGCTCATCGTTCTGAAAAGCGAGGTGTGCTCTGATTGGCCAGCTATCCAGTGCATTGTGATTGGCCGAATACCTCAAGCGGGAGACGGAAATGTTACGCCCCTCACATACTGTTGATGCCGTGTCCGGCCGGAGCGACGAGACAAAAACATTAAAACCCATTATAAACAAGGTATTTGTTGCATCCAGTGGGGACATAATTACTAATTATAATGACTTATACTGTCTTTTTACACGTTGCGTTGCATTGCGCTGCGTAAACATAAAACCATGTCTGCATTTGTGATCGGAGAAATGACAAACAACAAGTACTACTCTA